GAAAAAATAAATATTCCAGACTTTTATGCAAATAAAAGGATTATCGGAATATCCACTATACTAAATGAACTAGCAAACAACTACCTAAACCAGAATGCTATTTGGAGTTATTATTCAAGAGAACAGACAATGATATATTCAAACTGCAGAGAAATACGAGAACCAGATATGGAAGAATTAAGACAATGGGTCTTAAGTCTTTTGAAGCCAGAACAATCTACAACCACAAGAGCTATAAGGACAAATTTTATTTCTCCAGAATTATTAACAAGATATTGCAAGTTAATCAGTCACAAATATCCAGATCACATATGCTCAAAATGCAAAGGAGAAGATAATATTGTTCCAGACGTACAACTGGAATAAACAAGAAGAAGATTACTGAAGAAGAAGACGACAAGCTAGACGACAAAGAAATATGGCAGACAAAATAATATGAAAGATATATTAGATTCTTTTCTTTTCTTTATGTTATTTTGTTTTTTGTAAAAGTCGTAAAGTAAATAGTAAGAGTCAGTTTCATGAACAGTAAAGGTGTTCATGAAACTGACTCTTGACTCTTACTATTCATGAACGACCTTTATTGTTCATGAAACTGACTCTTACAATTTACTTTACGACTTTGTAGTGGGATTATTCTCNGGACAAATTTTCTCCTAGGATATTTTGAAAAAAAGAGGAAGTCTGGATTAAAAAAATGGGTTAATTTTTAGTTTTCTTAAGTTATCAAAGTTTGGTTTTCTTGAAATCAGGGGGCCCCGCCTGGAGAATAGGGTCAGTTTTTACTTTAGTCAAACTTAGTTTATAGTTTTCCTAGTCTATTCTTTAGTTTACTCTCATCATTGCATCAATAGTGCAAGTGGTTTACAATTTTGCTAACAACTCACAAATCTTCCTAGTGCAAACTAGGGCAGAAAAAATTTCTTTTGTTTTATGTGTTTTGTTGTAATCAGGCGCCCACCTGGAGAACAAGGGAAAACAACTCGAGTTTCAAGGGAAAGCAGTTTCGAAGGAAGACAACTCAAGTTTCAAGAGAAAGCATTTTCGAGGGAAGACAACTCGAGTTTCAAAGGAAAACAGTTTCGAAGGAAGACAGTTCAAGTTTCAAGGGAAAATGGTTCAAGGTGCAAGGAAAAACAGTGTCAAGTAACAAGAGAAGACGATTCAAGTTTAGCAATCAGGCGCCCGCCTAGAAAATAAGAGAATTCAATTCAGAATGCAATTTAGGTCAGTAACAAAAGAAGCTCGCGTCAAGAATGCGAGTCAGCAGTCCGAGATGATCAACAAAAGTTAGTCACAATACAAAATAAAAATAAAAAATAAATAAAAAGAAAGACAAGAAGTGAATCCAAATGCAGAAGTTAATAAAAGATGTGAGCTGCTCAAGATAGAGCTGAGGTCACAAGCTCTACATGTCCCGTCTTGTTTTGACAATCCGAAGAAGAACGAACTAGCACCTACAACTAGCAAGCGTTAAGGTTCAAATCCAAAGTCTGTATGAAGAACCATTCAAAACTCAAGATCAAACTTCAGAAGACTTATAGATAGGAATCTTGTAACTCGTTGTTGGCAGGCTTAGCTAGTCTTTTCCATTTCTTGATTTTTTGATGTAATAACGGGACTGCGGACCGGAACCTTGGCGGAATGTCACCTCGACTGGCTCTCCACCTTGGCATACTCCATCATCTCACTCACCTCTGAACTACACGTGACCTGATTCCTTTATAGCCAAGGATATGTAGGCAGCTCATATACCAGGGCTCGGTCACATTCCCCTTTTCTTAGTTTTAGTCCCTCCAAATAAGGGACGGGTCAAAAAACCTGTTTAGTCGTTCTTTGTCTCAAAATACTTCGTATTTCCAGTCAAAGAGGGGGGCAGCTGTAGACATGTGATTTTTGACCTCCCCGAAATTTCACCCACTTTAGCATGTAAATATTTAATTTAGGCTTAATATAGTTATTTCAACTAATTTTTACTCTTCTACTTTATTTTATTACAAAAAAAACGAAAATTACAAAAAAACATTAGTTTCATTAAGGTTTGTAGTCATTTTTAATCTTGAAAAAATATTAAAAAATAGTTTTATTTTAACGGGCAGTCTTATTTTAATAATTATTTTTACTTAAGTAGGATTAATTAATATTTTTGGTAATATTTCTATATGGATAGATTTTTAGTTAATTAAGCTAATTTTAAGCAAAGCTAGTTGTAAAGGCCCAAGTTTCAAGCCCATAATTTCTAGGCATATACCCCTAACCTAATCCCTACCCCTATATAATAGTACCTAACCCCTAAAATAAAGCTACGTCTAAATCCCCATCTGACCCGCTGTTTTGGAAGAACAAATGAGGATCAGCGAAATATAAAAAGAAAAAGCTGAAAAAGCAAATAACCTACACTCCTAAGAAGACTAGCGCCGTTTTCTCAGAAAACACCAAAGGACCCCTCTTTTCTCGAAGGTCTTCTTCTTCAGAGACTTGAAGAGACCTTCCTTATAGACCTTAGGAAGATCACCCTCTCGCCATCAGCAACCTCCCAGGCACAGCCCGCCGTTACACCCACAACACCCTTAAGCATCAGCGACAAAAATAAAAAATTTCGACCCACGAGCAGCCATTTCCCATTCCCTATTGGTGATTTCTTCTTGTTTATTTTCTCAACTGAAAAGAATCAGTCACACACGAAAGAGAAAGAGACAAACAAACAAGAAGGGAAAAACAAAGGTTTAAAAAAGGGGTTATTCTAGCTTCAAACTCAGATTTTAGTCTCTGAAATTATAGAAACTAAACATGTAAAAGTGCTTTTGCTTCTTCATTTTTGATTTCGGGTTTGGTTCCGAAAATCATGGAATTTCCCCGAGGTTTGGAGTTGTTGTTTGGGGTTCGTTCGTTCTGAGTTCTGTCCACTTCCAATCTTGGCCATACCGGCTGGTTTATCTTGCGCGTGTAATTTTGCTTAAAATTTCAAAGCTAATTTTCAGGTGCATATCTTCTCCTTTTCTTTACTTTTCTCGTGAACTTTGTGGTTGAAATATAATATGAGCCTACTATATGATTTTTAAAGTGTTTGTGATTAGGTTTGAGTATAGAGCTTGGTGTTGATTCACTAGTTTAAGTGTTTTTAGCTGGTTTATATGTTTAATGAGCTATATGTTTCCCCTTTATTTTCAATTATACTTTTGAAGTATTAGAATATTTTGGAGCTACTATGACAGCTAGGAAATCTGCTTTGACTAATTTCTTTTTTTAAATCATAATACTAACTTTCAATGTCTAAAGGATTAATGTTGAAAGGCTGAGTTGATTTCTTGTATAATGCTTGAACCACTGTTTGGGGATGCCAGCCCCTTTGATTCTAAAGTTATCTTCGATCAACGTAATTTTTAACCTTAAGAGGGGCTCATATTATATTCCAACCATTTTATTATTGTTCTTATTTTAGATCCATGATTGTTTAAGTATTCTTGCATGATTTCTTTTGTCTAGTTATTCTGTGACGTTACCCATGGGAAATACATAGCACTTTGCGTGGTTAAAGGGAAATTGTCATTTCGTTCATTGAATGTTTGATGGGGTGGCGGGTGTTGAGTAAAAAAAGGGAATTGGACTCTATATGTGTTACTATCTTTAATTATTTTAGTTGTTTGCCGCTAGTAGCATGTTTAGGCCGACCATATCTGGGTAGGCGAACTTTTAGGCACATTTCGAATTTATTATCGTGATTATGTAAATATTCGCGCAACATAATTACAGTTTCTAATATGAAAATGCGTAGTTACTTTAGGCGCATTATTTAATAATTTACCTTCCTAAACTCGGGTGCGCATTTATGTGACCTAAATCCAAATCTCAACAACGTTAGAGAAAATATGTTGCAAACTGCGGGTGCATTTAGACGTGGTTCAAGACGTATTCTAGATGGCGTTGAATCTTTATCCTAAAAAATAATTAAATAAAAGCGGTTATAAAATTAAAATTGAACCATAGGCTAAACATGTATTAAAAATTAGATAATATGCCAATTATAACAGTTGAGCGACCGTGCTAAAACCATGGAACCCGGGAATGCCTAACACCTTCTCCCGGGTTAACAGAATTCCTTACCTGGATTTCTGTGTTCGCGGACTGTAATACAGAGTCAATCTTTTTCTCGATTCGGGATTTGAACCGGTGACTTGGGACACCATAAAATTATCCCAAGTGGCGACTCTGATTTTTAATAAATTAATAATCCCATTTCGATTGTCACTTTAAGTTGAAAAAAACTCCCCTTATACCCTTCCGGGGGTGTAGGTAAAAAAGGAGGTGTGACACCAACTACTACTGTTTGCGAAATAAAAATACAAAAAATAAAGAACACAGAGATTTTTAAGTGGAAAACACCTGGCTCAAAAGGTGAAAAAACCACGACCTACTACTCAGTAGGATTTTTCCAAACTTCCACTAAAATTACTGAGCCAAAACAGCATTTACAAAAACTTTTTGTAAACCTAGGGATTAACTCTAATCCTGTTGTGGCACACAGCCTCAACTGTTGCGACAACTTCAAGTTAGCTATAACTTGAACACTCTAGGTACCTAATACAATTGCTTCTATGAAAGCTGAAAGGTACAACTTTAAACCACCTACTACAATTGAACTAGAATAAAAGATAGACATAATGGAACTCGTTCTTCTATCTCGTTCAAGTAGCTTCAGGAGTGCACACTCAAATCACACATAAATTTCTTGCAAAATCGCCTTGCTCTTTTGCTCTCAATTCAGTTAACTTCTGCGTATGTGCATTACCTATAAAAGAGAACAACACTGACATTTAATAGGTTAGTAATCAGAGTTTGATTGGAACTCAATTGATACTCTCCTATCGTAGAAGAGTTCATGATGATCTCAAACTCTAACTCTATCTTCATCCTAGGTAGTGTTCTCTTCATATAAGGAGACTTTTTCCCTTTATCCAATATGCAACCTTTTTGATCAGATCAGGAGATATTGTTGCTTGATCAGTAGGAGTTATCTCCTTCATGTGCATCTCACATGTATAGGTTGATCATGACTGTGATTCACAAGATGGACCTGGTCCATGACTGAGTTCTTTTTTTCATTCTTCAAAACTTCACCTGTTCTTGGGACAACACAAATTTTATCCAATTTTGACCTCAAATCGACCTTCAAATCCTTAATTTTCACTTTAGGAAAGATTGTACTAAAATCTCTGATTTCTTCTCTTTAAATCACCAATTAAATGCTAAAAACAAAAATGGAATCATGAAACAATAACAAATCTGAGTCAAATACACTTACCTCCAAAATCGCCAAAATTCGAGCTCTCCAACCCAAAATGTGATGTAATAACTCTAACCCTCAAACTATAGTTTTAAAAAAATCTTGCATTACCATTCGCGATCGCGTAAAGTCCTTCGCGATCGGGAGGAACAAAATTCTCCAGCTACCAAAACCACCTACGCGAACGTCATAACATAGTCGCGAACGTGATGACCAGACGACCGTGCCTACGCGAACGCATAACAACACCTGCGAACGCGATGTACAAACATGTGCCATCCTTTGCCAGACCTTCCTTCTATGCGAATGCGGCTCCCTGCTCCCGACCGTTATGCACAACCTCTCTAATGCTTCGCGAACGAGTCACTCTTTGTGAATTCAAAGAACAAAACCACCTGCCACCAAATAACACTTCGCGATCGCGTCTACCATTTCGCGATCGCGAAGAAGGAAACCAGAACCTTAGCAACAACAGTACAAAAATGGTGGAAATAGTCGGAAACCCATCTTAATCACACCCGAGGCCCATGGGACCTCATCCAATCACACCAACAAACTCTAAAACACAATACAAACCTACTCAAGGCCCCAAATCACACAAAACATCATCCAAACCACAAATCGCACCCTAATTCAATTCTAATGAACTACTGAACTTCCAACTTCCAAAACTCAGGCCAAACTATATCAAATCAACTTCGAATGACATCAAATTTGCATGCAAGCCTCCGGGCACAATAGACTTATTCCAACTACCGAAACCAAAATCCGAGTCCGGTATCACTAAAGTCAACTCTTGGTGAAACCTATCTATTTTCCAAACTTTCAACTTTCCAACTTCCACCAAAAAGCACCAAACCAACCTATAGACCCCCAAATCCGAATACGAACATGCGCCTAATTTCAAAATCACCACACGAAGTTATTGGAAACATTAAAACTCTATTCTGGAGTCGTCTACACAAAAGTCAAACGTTGGTCAACTTTTTCAACTTAAGCTTGCAGCTTTGGGACTAAGTGTCCCAATTCACTCCAACACTTTCTCGGAACCAAACCAACCACCCCGGCAAGTCACATAACCAATAATGATTATAGAAGAGGCAATAAATAGGGGGAACGGGGACATAATACACAAAACGACAGGCCAAGTCATTACATTCTCCCCTCTTCAATAAACATCCATCCACGAACGGGTCTAGAATCATACATGGAGTCTCAAAAATGTGTGTATATCTTCTCAGCATCTCTTGATCGATCTCCCAAGTAACCTCCTCGACCAGCTGACCTCTCCAATGCACCTTCACTGAAACTATCTTCTTTGACCTCAACTTTCGAACCTGCCGGTCCAAAATGGCTACCTACTCCACATTGTAAGTCAAATCCCCATCTAGTTGTACCGTGCTGAAGTCCAAAACACGTGAAAGATCACTATAATACTTCCATAACATAGACACATAAAATACTGGGTGAACACCCAATAAATTAGGTGGAAAGACAAGTCTCTATGCTACCTCTCCAATTCTCTCAAGCACCTCGAAAGGACCAATATATCGAGGGCTCAACTTATCCTTCTTCTCGAACCTCATCACACCCTTCATGGGAGAAACTATGAGAAAAACCTTCTGACCCACCATATATGCAACATCACGAACCTTCCAATTAGCATTACTCTTTTGTCTAGACTATGTTGTACGGAGCCGCTCCTGGATCAACTTCACCTTCTCCAAGGTATCATGGACCAAGTCAATTCCCAACAACCTAGCCTCCCAAGGCTCGAACCAACCAACTGGAGAATGACGTCTCCTCCCATATAAGGCCTCATAAGGAGACATCTAGATACTCGACTGAAAGTTGTTATTGTAGACAAACTCTGTAACGGAAAGAACTGATCCCATGAACCTCCAAAATCCATAAAACATGCACGTAACGTGTCCTCCAAGATTTGAATAGTGCGCTTGGACTGTCCATCCATCTGGGGATGAAATATTGTACTTTACTCTACCCGTGTGCCCATATATCGCTGCACTATTCTCTATAACTACGATTTAAACTGCATGCCTCAATCAGAAGTGATAGAAATGGGCACACCATGCAGGCGAATAATCTTCCGGATGTAAATCTGAGCCAACCACTCTGAAGATAGGAATCTATCGCCAGAATAAAATGTGTGGACTTAGTCAACCAGTCCACAATAACCCAAACAATGTCATATTTCTTGAAGGTCCATGGTAAGCCTACCACAAAATCCATAGTGATGCGCTCACACTTCCACTCCGATATCTCCAATCTCTGAGTCAACCCTCCTAGTTTCTTGTTACACCCCATAGTATTGTACGTTAGATTTGTCGTAAGATAATTGACATCAGTTCAAGGACAAGATTATTTTGAGGTTATAAGTATTATGCTATTTGTAACAAGTGATAAGCAAGTGCCGCGGAGATTAGAGGGTAAACAAATCAAAGAATGAGTTTTGTTGAAAGTTATCAATTTGGGATAAAATACGGTCCAAGCTATAATACCCGGTATTTATAGACTAGTGCCATAGAAGGTACCACATGACCATGATAGTAAGGTTATAAAGTATGTTAAAAGCAAGTAGTATTTTAAGTAATTTGAGATAATTCTTAATTATGTGGATAATTGGGTAATTATTGATTTTTAGTGGAAGATTAACTAATTAATTAAAATCTTTGGATAAAGTTTAATGAACCTCACGTGATAGCAAATGCCTTAGGTAGTAGTGACTCCTGGTTCATTGGGTTAGGTGGCAAAATTAGGGGCCTTTAGGCAAAACTTTACCACAAAAATGGGGCCCACCAACCAACAATTTTAAAGAGATATCCTTGCCTCATTAAGGTTTGATGCTAAAGCTTGCTAAGTGATGATGGAACTGAAATAATTTATTTGAAACTTCACAATGCGATAAAACATGAAATTTGCGATTCTAAGGGAGTTCGGTGCAATCTTTCTCAAGAATATCATACAGATTTTCTTTGTGTTATGTTATGATACTTGTTGGTACGTTCGTACGGGGTCCTGAGGGGCTCGGGTGAGTTTTGTATATGTTTGGATTGTGTTGCACTCGTTTTTCTTATGTTTCGACATCGTTTCTTCAAGCATAAATGGTACAACATTGAACAACTGAGCTCTGATTTCTATTTTGATTGAAGCACTACATCCGTATCGTAATTACGGAGCCATGACAAAAAGAATCGTCGAATTTCGGAATCGTATGAGGATTTTATGGTCATTTTACTAAGAAATAAGTTGCCAAATTTTTCAGATTAATTACGAAATTGCCACTGACCTCGTATTTAAAAATCTGCACTATTTTAAAAAATATTGAAACAAGCATATATCCTTCAATATAAGGTCAAGTGGAGTAATTCCAAAGTCTAACTTGATTAGAATTTCACAAGGAATCAACTGGAGGCATCAAAAGTGAGTTTCGAGATCGTTTAGCACAAGAAACAAGGCAGAACAGTGTTAAATCAAGGGTTTTATTCATTTAATATATTTTGAGTTGGGGAGCTTGGATTCGGGCAAATTTTGGAGGCAATTTTCACTATATGGAATGGGTAAGTGTCCTGTACTCGAATTTGATCCTATTTCATGAATCCATCTTTATTTTCAGCATTTGATTGATGATTTCAAAGTGAAATTTGAAGGTATTGTTTAAAATTTCATAAAGTGAATTTTTAAATTTTGAACATCGATTCGGAGTTAGATGTGAGTGAAACTAGTATGGTTGGACTAGTAATTGAATGGGTTGTCGTATTTTGTGAGTTTTGTCCGGTTCTGAGGTGCGGGCCCAAGTTTGACTTTTTGGTCGATTTTGGGATTTAGATTAAAAATTTGACCTTTATCGATTGGGTTTGTTTACTTTTGCATTTTTTGATGTATTTGAGTTACTTTTGGCTAGTTTCGAGCCGTTCAAAGGTCGGTACACGCGGGATGGTATTTTTGGAGCATCGTTTGACTTGCTTGGTATTGGATTTTACTTGTTCGAGGTAAGTAACTCTTCTTAACTTGGTTGATGTTATGAAACCCCGAATTACGTATTATGTGATTGGAATTGAGGTGATGCACATGCTAGGTGACGGGCGTGTGGGCATGCACTATGTGAATTGTGACTCCATTATTTCTGTGGTATTGTGTAGTTACCCGATCTTACTTGTAACTATGAAATTTCTACGTATTTGAGCTATTGAGATGTGATCCATGTAGAAATCATGTCTAGCCTACATGTTTATCCTATTGGGATCCACTGACGTTATTTCTGCTGTTGAGTTATCTGCTTTCATTGCTTTATATACTCAATCTTACGCATTCATATGCATATCATATCTTCGTCTCTGTTACCATTTATTGGCATATAATGTTATTATTTTGGGCTAGTTTTAGGGTATTGTGAGCTCGATAGATTGGAAAGATTGATGATTGAGTGAGACCTAAGGTCTGAGTGTGAGTGAGATTATGGGATCGAGCTGCACGCCGCAACATGTTGTATTGATTACATACATTAGGATCGGGCTGCACGTCGCATCGGTTATATTGATTTATGATAGCGCTTGAGCTGAAGGAGACCCTCCAGAGTCTGCACACACCCCTAGTGAGCGAGGTTGATTTGAGGGATGGATCTTCCCTGGACATGGATCTTGTTCGAAGCATTTATATACCTGGGGATGGATCTTCCCTATGAGCTGGATTTGGTCCTACTTAGTACTGAGCGATTGATAGTCAGTTGATGTATATATTTTGGGATGGATCTTTCTTGGGCTGGATTGGCCATATATAGTACTAAGTGATTGAGCATGATGAGTGAAAAGTGTGAGATAGTGAAATTGAGTACTTTGAGAGTGTGAGTACATGAGTTCATCTCTGAGGTACATGGCACTGACATGCACATATGACATACAGGCATAGAGATGCATCTTTCCTCATGTTGTACGATATCACGTCATTTATGACTTCTCACACATATTGACATATAGGCATAAAGATGTATTTTCCTCATGCCATTTGAAAATGAAACATTTACCATGAAAAGTTTTTTGAGAAGAATTACAGTTTTCAATCTTACTCATATTTTTGGCAATTTCGGTAAAGGATTTGGGTTTTCACTGATATACCTGAAAAGCAGAACAATATTTAGAAACCATGATTAAGCTGAATATTTTATCTCTGAGTTACTTCTTTTATTACTTGCTTTACGTTGTTATGAACTATTGTTGGCTATTGGATGTTGGACCCGACCTTTATTCCAGATCGTCACTAATCTCAACCTAAGGTTAGTTTGTTACTTATTGAGTACATGGGGTTAGTTGTACTCATAGTATACTTCTGCACCTTGCGTGCAGATGTTAGCTGATGATGTTGCTGCGTTCGATGGGAGTTGGATTTGAAGATTTACCTGCATTCTGGTTGTAGCTGCCTCTTATTCATGGTAGCCTTAGATTTATAAAAATCTGTTTATGTACATTTCGAACAGATGATATATTTATTTCGTATCAGCTTTGTAAACTCTATTCTTAGAAGCACATTATTTGTAATACAATCCTTGAGGAATGTATAAGATTCAGATAATTTCTTTTATTTATTTGTTTTATGAATTTCATTGGAATTGGATAGTTCTTAATTGGCTTACCTAGCGGGTCAGATTAGGTGTCATCACGACTAGTTGGATTTTGGATCGTGACAAGTTGGAAGATCTTGTGATTTGTCTCAAGATTGAGGAAGATGACAAAACAACCAAGAAGAAGTCTCATGGAAATTCAATGATTATGGGAGCTAATATCGTTGAGGAGACTGCTTCAAAGAGTAAGAAGAGGAAGATGTCTGCTGGATAGACTAAGGAGCAGAATAAGAAAAAATTCAAGGGCAACTGCTACAATTGTGGAAAAGCTGGTCACAAAGCCCTAATTGTCGTCTCCCAGAAAAAAGACAAGAAAAAGGGACAGGCCAACATAGTGGATAAGAATGATGACATTGATGATCTATGTGCAATGCTTTCAGAATGTAACTTAGTTGGAAATTCGAAGGAGTGGTGTATTGACTCTGGAGCCACTCAACATATTTGTGTTGTCAAAGAAGCATTTGCAACTTACTCTACTGCTGGTTCCGAAGAAGAACTTTCCATGGGAAATATTGCAACAACCAAAATTGAAGGTTATGGGAAGATATTCTTGAAGATGACTTCCAGCAAGGTATTAACGCTCAACAACGTTCTTCGTGTTCCTACTATTAAGAAAAATTTAGTTTCAACTTCTTTAATTGTTAAGAATGGATTCAAAGGGGTATTTGTATCTGACAAAGTTGTTGTAAGCAAGAATGATATGTATGTTGGAAAAGGCTAACCTCACATAGGGCCTTTTCAAACTCAATGTAATGGTTGTTGACAGTATTAATAAAATTTCAGCTTCTTCTTATTTATTGAAGTCAAATGATTTATGACATGTTCGTTTAGGATATGTAAATTATAAAACCTTGCGGAAGTTAATTAATTTAGAAGTATTGCCTAAATTCGAGTGTAATAAATTAAAATATCAAACATGTGTTGAATTTAAGTTTGTCAAACATCCTTATAAGTCTGTTGAAAGGAATTCAAATCCTTTGGACTTAATTCGTACTGACATTTGTGATATAAAGTCAAAAACATCCCGTGGTGCGGAAAAATATTTTATAACTTTTATTGATGATTGTACTCATATAGTTATCTTTATTTTCTTAATAGTAAGGATGAACAATTGAAACATTTAAGCAATACAAGAATGAAGTGGAGAATCAATTGCATAAGAAGATTAAAATGATTAGAAGTGATAGGGATGGAGAATACGAATCTCCTTTTGCAGAAATATGTTTGGAATATTGAATTATCNTATTACATATGAAAAATGAAAAAAAAGAAAACCTAGCTTGAAATATTCAAAGTATGGGGGTGTTTAGCAAAGGTACAAGTACTTATACCCAAAAGGGTAAAAATCAGACCAAAAACTGTGATTGTATTTTTATTGGATATGCTACAAACAGTAAAGCATGTCGGTTTTTGATTCATAAATCTGATAAACCCAAAATTTATGTTAATACAGTAATTGAATCAGATAATACTGAATTCTTTGAAAACATCTATCCGTATAAAACTAAATGCAACTTGACAAGTGAAAGACCTAAACGACCACAGGAAGACCAAAGGAAATACTCCAAGTGAAGAGAATCCAATGTGTAGCAAACGTCAAAGAATATCTACTTCTTTTGGACCAGATTTTGTGACATTCTTGCTTGAAAATTATCCTCAAACTTTCAAAGCAGCTATGTCATCTTCTGATTCAGCATTTTAGAAAGAGACAGTGAATAGTGAGATTCAATCAATTTTGGATAACCATATATGGGAATTCGCTGATCTTCCTCCAGAAAATAAACCTTTAGTTTCGAAACGGATCTTTAAGAGGAAAATAAAGCTGATGGCACTATGCCAAATACAAGGAAAGACTTGTTATCAAAGGCTATAAATGAAAGGAAGGCATAGATTACTTTGACACTTACTCGTCAGTAACAACAATAACATATATTAGGGTGTTAGTGGCTCTGGCGGCTGTGTACGGTCTTGAAATCCATTAAATGGATGTTAAAACAGCTTTCTTAATTAGAAAATTGGAGGAAGAAATTTATATGGAACAACCTAAGGGTTTTGTGGTTCTTGGTAAAGAAAAGAATGTGTGCAAACTTGTTAAGTCGCTTTATGGACTTAAACAAGTACCCAAACCGTGGCATGCTATATTTGACCAAACAATATTGGAAAATATTTTTAAAAACAACGAGTGTGATAAATGTGTTTATATTAAAAACACTCTAGTTCATGAAGTCATTGTTTGTTTATATGTTGATAACATGTTGATAATAAGCAAAGATATGGCAGATATAAATGCAACTAAGTGCATGCTAGTTAGCAAATTCGACATGAAAGACTTAGAAATTACTGATGTGATCTTAGGAATCAGAATTCACAAGACTTCACAAGGTCTAGCATTATCACAGTCTCACTATATTGAAAAAGTACTTGACAAGTTCAAGTATTTGGATTTCAAGATTGCCAAGACTCCAATTGTCTGCACTTCAAAATAATGAAGGTGAAAGTGACTCACAACTAGACTATGCAAGAGTATTGGGAGGTTTGGTATATATCATTAATTGTATGCGATCAGATATAGCATGTGCTATTAGCAAACTGAGTCGGTTTACATGTAACCCCAATCAAATGCATTGGATGACAATGAAATGAGTTTTGGGGTATTTGAAACATACCTAAGACGATGCTCTGCATTATAACAAATATCCTTACGTAATTGAGGGATATAGTGATGCAAATTGCATCACCGGATCATCTGAAGTTAAATCCATGAATGGATATGTTTTCACAATTGGAGGTGGAGTAGTGTCTTAAAAATCATCCAAACAAATATACATCTCTCATTCTACAATGGAATTTGAATTCATAACTTTAGACAAGGCCAGTGACGAAGCCGAATGGCTCCAGAATTTCTTGATAGATATTCTATTTTGGCCCAAACCTTTGGCACCTATATGTATACATTGTGATAGTCAAGCGGCAATAGGTAGGGCAGGGAACGTTATGTATAACAAAAAATCTTGTCACATATGACAGAGACATAATATTGTTAGACAACTACTCTCTAGTGATATTATCACAATTGATTGCGTGAAGTGAAGAGATAACTTATCGGATCCACTTACAAAAAGGCCTATCTAGAGAGGCAGTTGAAAGATCATCGAAGGGAGTGGGGTTAAGGCCTAGGACAAGTCATCATGGTGGTAACTCTACATAGCAGACTGGAGATCCCAAGATCTATGTTCAAAGAGATCAAACAAAGTTATGAATGATGGTTCAACATTGTCAAATAATTCAACCTATTCTCGTGATGAAGACAATGTATAGAAATCAGGGTAAAACATTAAGGCGTTTTGATAAGTCATTAAAGCTTAAAGCTTCTTAATAATTTGCTAAGTCTGGGAGGAAATGACCCGATAGTATGTCTATGGGATTACACATTTAGAAATCACCTATGTGAGTGTGAAGTGTAAGCCGCTTCAAGGGGAATGAAAGTAAAGGCCCATTCTCTAAGAACTCATGAAACTAGGCGGTGTTCATGGCTGAAACGAACACAACCGTGAGAACCATAAATGGTTAAGGGTTGATTGTGTGACTTATGTTGTCAAGGTATATAACAAAGCTCGACGATTTAAAGATATAAAATCTAGCGATTGACCGAGTATATCCAATATAAGTTCACTACAGAAAGTCCAAAGGGAAGCCTACTTATCCAGATGCAATTAATCCTTGCGTGTAAATCACACACTCGTCTGTGCATTTCTTTGTCTTATAGCCATTCATCATTCATGTGGGGATTGTTGGGATTAAAAGATTGGTGGATGGGAAATGGAGGGAAGAAATATGAAGAGAAAGTGAGCTCCCTTATGCTTTGGAAAAAAACAATTGTCCCTCATTGGTGGTGGAAAGAAAAGTAATATACTTATATTGAGCACTTCTATTGGTGTTAAATTGGTTGGAAAGAAAGTAAGCCTCGCGCCGTCGTCGTCGCTCGCTCGCTCGTCTCGGCTTCCGCTTCAGCTTTGGGCTTGATCAAAGATCGATTGATTAGTGTTTTTGTATAAAATTTCTTTCAATTATTTTATTAATTAACAAAAATTCAACCCGTTTAAAAGTCAACCAGTGATGCAACCGGTCCGTTTCTTTCCCGGATTATTTTAAATTTAATTTCTCGATATATTTTAAACGGGAATTGTTCCCGCCTGTTCCAACCGCCATGACTATTTCTAAAAGGTTGCAAACATTTCAGAAACATCGCCAGAAAATGGCTGTAAATTTGCCTTACGAAATTTTCTAAACTTCTTCTCCTTCTGCTGCACAATTAAATTCCAGTGCAGTTTACATCCTTTAAGTGGTGCGCTGTTTTACCATCATTTTTAGTATTGATACTCTGGTGAGTTAAATCGTTCTATCCTAGGAGGATAATATTTCAACACCTCGTGTACTTGAGGGGAATAATTTTTTTAAGAACACACTATGCATTCAATGAACTCAATTTTTTATTCCGAAATATAGTTACTGATTTGATTTATGATAATCTCCAGTTTTAGCCATATTTTTGCTTTTCTATTTTCTGTTTTATGTTAGAGAAATTTATTGTTTCGTAATATTATATTATAGTAATGAAATAGTCTTTTATGCCTATTTAAAACTCTTAACTGATATGTCATTCATTCCTCATTCTTTATAAATTGGATATTATTTATGTAATATATTTTTTCTTCCAATCACTTTCACAATGTGCTTCTAGATATATTGAAGTCATTGGAAATGACTGTTTATAAAGATTTAGCCGTTGTAATAAAACTATTTTACATTATGGTGTCGGATCGTGCAATACGCGATGAGTATAAACAAATTAACTAATCAATTACGTAATCAAAATTGTATCACGTAAGCGTTTTTAACGTTTAAAATGAGTTTTAATGAGTTTTTCTCCTGAAAATCCATTATATTGATTAACAATTATATATCCTTTAAAGTAATTTGTCTTGCTCGTAAATCTTTTTAATGAGTCTACAATCCTTAATTCTTTATCCTCTTTCGGTTTCATGCATGCTTGGTCGGGCTGCATCTTCGTAAAAGCCTATTATAGAAAAGAGGGTTTTCCAAAAATTCAGGAGTAATTTGTGGCTGGCCAATCAAAGGGACATAATTGACTGAGTGACTATTTGGTAAAAGATGACTTAATCAATTCAATAAAAGATGCGGCCTAAACTTACAATTTTGTGTGGATTATATATTTTTAAGTTCTAAACATCATTTCTTTACCTATCTCACCTTACTATTTCCCAAATTAAACTTCCACCACCCATTTTTCTTCTTTAATTTCTTCTAAGCATACTCTCCTTCACTAGCAAATTTTAACACAATATCTCTAATAATTCGTTATTATTTTATAGGGATAGTAAATAGTTTTTTTATATAGTGTATTTTCTTCCATTCTTCTTTCTGAGAGAAAGCACAGAAATCTGGTTTCGTCCATCTCTCTCCCTTTTCCAAAAAATATTGGGATTAGACTTCTCACTAGCATCTATCTCCTCCTTTTTTATTCCTTATTTAGTTAACAGGGATTTCTCTAGCTGTTTTATCACATCTCCATATAAACTTTCAAGATTGTAGAGACAAAAATAGGTCAGCTACTGTTATAAGATGTTTTGTTTCTTGTCATATGTTCTTATTTGAAAAAATATATTTACACATATTTTCAACTGCAACTACAATTGAGGTATGCAAGAAGGAAAAAGGAATAATAAATGCATTTTCTATGAAGTTATTTTCTAAAAATCTAGTCAGGAACAATTGAACCTTAAGATTATATTGCTATTATTATTGTTAATTGCTTTTGATTTTGTCGTCATTGTTTTCAAATTGTTGCTGTCACAATTTTTGTTGTCAACATTGTTATTGTTTTCATAATTCCAGTTGTTTTCATCACGTTTTTTGACGTTGGTCACCAGTAGTATGTTATTGTGGTTAACTTATACGCATGACCTATTTTTGTAGTTTGAAGGCATGAACCGAGTTTGTTCGCCATATTTTGATCCTGATTTTGATAGCCTAGCTGAGAGGATAAATGGCCCAAAGTAAGTGATCAAAATGATTTTGTCAAAATTTCTGTTTGACAAAAATTCAATAGATTTAACTTAATTCTCCTCGTATATAGATGCCGAATTACTATTGACAATGAGAGCCTAGGGAATTGTACAATAGTGAAGGTAACAAAATTTTTATTATTATTTCTCTTCGAGATGAAGAATAAATTGTTAATTTAAGGGAAAAATGAAAGCAAAATAGTTTTAATTGTAACAAACCATTCGTATCACATGCAGATTGATAGTGTAAATAAGCAAGGTCTTCTACTGGAAGTGGTGCAAGTGCTAACAGATATGAATTTAATTATATTGAAAGGCTATATATCTTCAGATGCTGGATGGTTCATGGATGGTATTCGACATAATATACATTCACATTATTTATATTATTAATAAGAATGTAATATGATCTAACATGTTTCTTTTAAATGCTTGTTTTCAGTCTTTCATGTTAAAGATGAGCTAGGTAACAAAGTTACCGATCAGAGAGTTATCAACTATATTCAGCAGGTAATACAATCATACATAAAAATTCCAGCTAAAATCCTTTTTTTGTCTGAAGAACTCAAATCCTTATGTTTCGAACTAAACTATAATATACAATTAAATCCCATGATTAGCGATATTAACTTAAGAATAACTTGCTCCTGTTAGACATTTAAGTTTTAAAAGTTTTATGGTTACAAATGTTATGACATGTTAAGACCATACATTTTAGAATTTTTAACATTCTTTATTAATCACTGTGCCAAATTAAACTATAACAAACGAAGAGAGTATAACCGAGTATCTACTTTGCATATTTACTGCTATATTTTAACATCTTGTGGTTGGTTATTTATGCTTTAGTACTTAGGCTATCAAATTAGAGTGACTAAACATAATTATTTATTATTATAGGTCGATTTAATTGATTGTTAAAAAAACATTGATAGATATAAATGTTATGCTCTACTATTTATTAGCATTGATTTTATGTATAGTGCACTTATAATATAAATAATTTCTACACTATCAAATTAAGATAACCTATAATAAAAAATAACTCTTCATATTTAGTCGAATATGGCAACTTAGAAAATAGAGTAATAACCTACAATAACTACTTAAAATTACACTGCGAATCAATGTATACAATTTAAAACTCTTATCCATATCACTGATCCAAACAAACATCCAGGCTATTGGTGCAAATAGGGAGGGAATACACAAATCAAAGTCAGAAAGTAGAAATTTTTTGAAATGTGAATCTCCTCCTGAGCCTAGAGCTATTGAAATGACTGGAAGAGACAGACCAGGGTTATTTTCAGAGATATCAGCTGCCCTAGCTGATCTCCATTGTAACGTTGTGGAAGCACATGCATGGAGCCATAATGCACGTTTAGCATGCGTCGTTTACATTTCAGAAGAATCTACGGACACCCCTATCGACCACGATCGCTTGCTAGCAATCGAGGATCACCTAACAACTGTGCTCCGAGCAACAACTGCTCGGAGCACCAACGAAGAAAGTGGAAATCAACAAGAAGTGAAGACTGCTTATGGCCTTAATCCTGAAGGAGAAGGCACGGTGACCGATGTTGAACGTAGATTACATCAACTTATGCTTTCTGTTCGCGACTTTGAAAGCCCTAATTCAAAGCCTATAAATTCTCCAAGAATGGGGTCTCCAAGATGTGAGATTAATGATAAGGAAGAGAAAATGTTGAGTGTTTGCATTGAGAATTGTGATGAGAAAGGATATTCAATAGTTTCTATTCAGTGCAAGGACCGTAGGAGGCTCATGTTTGATACTGTTTGCACTCTTACGGATATGCAATATGTCATTTTCCATGCTTCCGTTGATTCACGTGGAGGTTGTGCATTTCAGGTACTTCGTCTTCTTCTTTTGCTTGTTTTTTTCATTTTATTCTTTGGCACCTCATAATTATAATCAGTGTGGAGACTTCCGTTAAGGGTTCAAAAAAGAAAAAAGTTAAAAAAACTAAAATAGATTAAATTGAACTAGTAATCTCACAAAGATTTTTAACACCTTTTGTCAATGTGATTCAAAATTTAATATATAGAAGTAAAAAATAGATTTTACTTTATATACACAGTATAATTTTTTGGCGAAGGGGTCGGGTGAACCCCTTCTGCCCCTGCTCATATATAATCATGGGTTCACTCTTCTTTTTATATTTCTCAAGTGTTGTTGCTTTAGCTTTAGGGGCGTTGACTTTTTATGTGGACAAACTTTTTTTTCTTTCCAAATAGGTCTCTGAATAGTACATTTGCAAAAATTGTTTTTTAAATATCAAACAAACAAATAGGTCTCCGGATGTGTTTTATTTTTTTAACAAAGCAATGCCCAATACACACTTGATTCCATATTAACCCACAAAACTAAATTATGCTATCATTCTAGTCCTATTGTTTTTCGTTATTTCCGCTTATTTTTCACTCCCTAATAATATGCACATATTTTGTTAATTTCTTAATCTTTTTCTATTTTTTTCTCTTGTCGTTGCTAGGAAATGAAATTATTGTGATCGTATAGTGCAAGTTGCTTAGGAATATTGAAAAAATGTTTACATATTGAAAGCGAAGATGAGAGTTTCAAACTGATTTCCTTAAAAATCTTGTGTCTTTCGAAAATTAAAAAAATAAAAGATCTTTAGACTTGTTCCATATGGATTGAGAAGTAATGTTGGCCACTTTTCGAGATATAGGTGTCTGTAATAGAAACGAGGATGGTGTGACCTTGGCCTCTTAGAGATTAATCAGCCGTAGATAATAATGAATAGCGAAAATATACAATATATATANGAAGCTGCTATAGAAAGAAGGGCTTGCGAGGTCTGCCTTTTCTTCAATATCATGCATGTAGTAATAGTTGGTTTAATTTTACTCATAGTCAGTCCGCTTGTATCTGAGCATCATGTTTAATTTTTATTTGGTTATTTGACAGGGAATTCGATTAGAATTATGTGCCAACAATAGAGTAGGATTGCTCTCTGATATTACTCGGGTTCTTAGAGAGAATGGCCTAGCTGTTGTTAGAGCAGATGTAGCAACAGAGGGAGGGAAGGCAAGACATACATTCTACATAAGAGATATTTCTGGTAATGATATTGACATGAAATTTGTCAAGTCCATGAAGACCGAAATGGGCGAAATTGATGTTGCTGTGAATAACGAGACAACGACGACAACAACAGCCACAGGCTCCATGACACGTGTTAGTTCTTTTCGATCTTTTGGGGATTTAATGAAATCTCAGTTTGAAAAGCTCTCCCACAACTTTGTTGCGATCTAGATGGTGTCACACTCTAGCCGGTTTAGCAATTAAATTATGTAAATTCCTAGCAGCATTTTGTTATTTGATAGGTCATAGGTAGACATTGTACATATGTAACCTGTAAATTTGTCAGTTGAATCTATTATTGCCCATTTCAATTTGACAACGCCAAGGATATTATCTTTGAATAAAAGCTGAAAATTTTACTTTACAGAGAAAAGAGTGGGAACATTGTTTTGTTTTGACAAAAGATAAAAAGAGAGAGACTATTTTGCATACCCTATACCACAAAACAGACTTCCGAACAACCAAATCCTATTAACGACGACCAGAAAGGACCCATAAAGGACACTGACCTCTCAAACACATTTGCCAACAATGCACGAGATTCAAAACATTAGAACAATCATGTGTTGAGTATTGGGGTTTTAATGATTACAAATCAATCCAAAACTTTCGCGCAACGAAACTAATCAATCACATAAGGCGACTTAATACTATTGGGGCCTAAAGCCAAACTTCTATAAGAGGCCTTTAATTATTTTTTTATAATTAAAAAAAATTCATATATATTATTTATTTGAAATATAATTTTCTACCTTTTTCAGATGCAAAATTATGAATATTTATTTTATAATCAATTTCTTCTAATAGCTATGTTTCAATTGATAATATAGTTAATCCATTTAATCTCTTGCGCCGTGGTTGATCTTAAGTAAGATTTTATCAATTTTAATTTAAAAAACTTCTTTCAAATTTATAGTTTGTGATCGAGGACGACCCGATAAAACTGTTACCCTTATTCTATATGCAATATAAGCATTTTAAAAAGAATCAAGTTTTTTTATTGGATTGAGTATATCAATTAGAGTACTAGCATTTCTTCTTTTTGGGATTGTATCAAAGATTCAACTTTTTTTCTCTTAAGTTTTGAATAACCGAATTCATACTTTATATTTGGCATATTTAAATTTTAATAAATACTAAGAGGATAATATATGTGTACGTGTTGAAAATATATACAAAAAACAAACGTAGATGAAAACTAGTACTAAAAGTTAAACTAGAAGAACCTGAATCGTTAATTTGATGTGAAAATAAATATTTGTTGCTTTCAATATACTTATGGTAGGCTTTAGCTTGATTGACAAAAAATACGAAACAATATGATCTCTTGAAGGTACAAAGAAAAAATATAATAGTAGTAACGTTTAGTGAGAACTGAGAAAGATTAAAAAAGAAAATTGAATATTATGCAAATTACGAAAGGAAGTGGAAAAGGTTTACATAATATTTAATGAGAAAAAGACTAAAGATAAAAGAATAATCACTTGATTCCTTCCATAAATTTTGCATTTATACGTTAGGAGCCCATCTTTTAGAAACAAAAATATCTTTTTTTTATTTACCAAAATATGTAATAAGAGTAAAATTACTTATTTAAAAAAAATTATAGGGTAAAAAATGAGGTCCCCTAAAATTGGGGCCTAAAGCTTGGGCTTTACCAAAAGCCGGCCCTGCACACAAGTCATAAAATCACAAATACACATGTGTGAAGCATGAATAGGAAAAACGAGGCTTAAATACACAAAAAAGACCGATCGGATCGTTACATAGAGATCTTCATGTTTTAGGCAATATATAGTACCTCCCACTAGAACAAACAACACATAGGTTGTTTTGGTTTTACCCATTTTTCGCTCAATTTGTCTTCTAATTCTTGAAAAAACCTTCGACTATCAGAATTGTCCTTTGATCGCGGGTGCAAATACATTCCATCAAGTGAATGTTCTAGTGAATTAAGAACTTTTATAAGTTCTGCATGATTTCTATCCATATCTCCTCGCATAATTTCTGTTGTGATTGTTCCATTACAGCTCGCAGATCTAATTCTCGAGCTCTCAGATTCTCGTACTACGTACTTTTGTAAACCAATTGTTGGATTGACCGATTGAACATCAACAACTTTTCTCGAACCCATCGTAACCTCGCTCTCATTCAAATTATTAGTATTGAGGAACAGAGAAGAAATAGAGACGAGATAGAGGAAAACAAAGAGAGAAAAGACTATAGATGAGAAGAGAAGTCTTGGGAGAAAACTAGCAGATACCAATTATCACTCAACAAGGGTTTACAAAGAAAGGCCTCACGCTTATATACCCTCAGCTGAGCCTTGAAGTCACACACATAATGCTGGCACAAAAATGCAACAGGAAAATAGAAATGCAATCAACATAGAAAAGGAATAAAATTGTACCTAGTTTCTCTATATGCTTCTCCCGCCAAAACCCTTCAAGACCTTTTCAAACTAATTCCTTCTTAATTTCAAACTCATGTATCCCCCCATTAAAACTAATTAAGTTAGAATTCCTCTTACCCAATTTTTTGGGTTCAGAGTCCAAAATTCTTAAATAAAAGTTTCCAATGGCCTCTCTAATCTTTGCCCCCTTATATATTGTATCATGGTATAAACTGGACATATATATATATATATAGACTGTTGGAATATAAAAGGCATACATCTTGGAAACCCCTTTGTTTACTTAAGTTCCTTTTAGATATACTAGTATCTATAAACGTGCGTTGCACGTTAATAATGGCACATAATGGTTTAAATATTTATTTATATAAAGAAATAATAAAATTTAATTAATGAGAGAAATTTTATATATAATACTACAACAATCATCTAAATACCGAAAAATATTGTTACATTAGCATAATACGTGAATTCAAAAGGAAATGACATCATCGGAACTTACATAAATGATCAATTTTAGTCATGTTAAGTAGATAATTACGTATTGTAGTTTAAAGGTATGTAATGTGATGGCATCTTACCGAACACTTCTTTATAGACGGTGTTTTTTTTGTATATATTTCCTTATAATACTTTGGTTATTCTGCCATAACCAGAACTCATGTTGTCGATATTGATATCTCTGTTGAAAGTGCAACATATAGTTATTCGCATAAGAAAATATATTATGGTAAATATAGTCCAATATTTAGGATGTTTGCCCTTGTGCTTTATTTATTATAACTACAAAACATAAACATACTGAAAATTATTTTTACACAAATTTAGAAGGATATTCTTTAGTTTCGGAAGACGAAAGTTAAATTCGGGGATAAACACATACTTAGGAGCACATTGATCAGTATCATAAGTTTTGCATGTATGACGTTATTGTCAAAACTTCTATATACTGTATGTGTACTATTACATAAGCTATTCAGCGGATCTAAGTTTGCAGTAGCATGACTGGCATATTTTTCTTCAAAATCAACCTATATGCAATGAAAGATCAATTTTAACTTAGGCTACATATATATATATATATATATATATATATATGGTCACAGTAACATACTTAAGTAATAATGAACTTGACAACAAACATGTACGTTAGAAAACCATTTGGTATTAAAATATTTAAATATTCTTCTTGATAATAACTGTTGGTATCATCTTCTGGAGAGTCAAAACTAAAAAGTATTTTATTTTTACCATAAAACTTAGCAATCAATATTTTATTTAGTTGATCAACAAATTCATTCCTACTATCTAAATAGCTCTTTAATTTCAATCATGTAATTCTCCTAAATTGCGTTTTAATCTAATAATAAAAATATTCTCCTTATTAAATGCACTACTATTACCATTGGGTTTGATAACCAAGTGTTCTAGAAGAACCAAATCATCTTTTATTGGATGTTTTCTTCATTTCCGACACGAAGCAAGAAGTCACTGAATGTTGAATTTGTTCTTACTTTTATATTTCTTGTCATTTGAATATTTTTCATTTGAGGTCATAAGTATAATTAAGGCAAGCTAGCTTTTACGGTTTCTGATTTCGTCAATTTTTCGTACTTGACAGAAATCACCTCCCTAAAATCTTTTTTTAACTTGAAAAATAATTTTACTCATATGAAGATTTTAAAAAATAATCTAATTGGATTCTCTTGCTAAATAATTAATTAAATTTTTTGATTATTTGGTTTAACATAAAGTATAATTTATTTTCTATTGATTTACATTCTTAATAATAGTTCATCTCATATTTGAATATTTAACCGTAATTATAATTTTATCCACCATAAATTTATTTTTAAAGAGTAAAAAGATCAATTTGACATTCCACTTTTAGATCTTTATGTTTGCAAATCATTAGTAGTATTGGCTCTTACCAATCTTTTTTTTCTCACACATTTGTATTCTTAAAATTTTTCTTAGTTGTTCTTTAATAATTGGATATATTTTTCTACATTACACGAAAAATTAATAATAAAAAATATTATTTGAATAGAAATCAGTTCATATATAATATAATAATATATTATTGCAGGGATTGTTTTCTCAATTTCAACGCTCTATGCAATCCTTTTAGCATTTCTTTTATTTTTTCTTGGTATTGAATATTATAGAGTGGTAATGTATTACCACCACTATGGAGGATTCTTATGAAATTTTATTTTATTAAACCTTCCTTCATATTTTTAATAAGAATCCAATAGATAAGATTGTATTAATTTTAAATTCTTAAATATTAAAAAAATTAACATAGAAGTTATTGTAGTTAAAAAAAATAAGTTATTACAACTATGTCATTTCCGTGTGAGTTCTTCTGTTTAATATTTTAGGGTTATTTGGTCGATTCAATATAATATTTTTGCTTTTATAATAATATAAGCTCTCCTGTTTCTAAATGGATTTAGACAATATAATACGTTTTCAAATTAAATTGGCAATAGAAATTTTTTAAGAAGTATATCGTAAAAGTAATAGGATTACATGTCTAAAAATATATCCATATCCGAAAGTACTTATACTAATAGAAAATCTAACATGTTCCTAAATTTATTAGGTTTACATGCTAACATGTAATATTATATATCTATGCCCGAACATAATTACACTAATGGAATTTCTAAAGGTAATCATGTAGGATTCCTAATGTGTAGTATTATGTCCTAATACTAACAGGATTACAAGGCTAATGTCTAGAATTCTGGTTATGTCCTTTTATTATGAGTTATTATACTTTAGATGATTGTTGTATTATTATATATATAAATTTATCTCATTAATTAAATTTTATTGTTCATTCATATAAATAAATATTTAAACCATCACGTGTCACTATAAAAGTTGGAA